TTCTGTTAGAGGTGATCGGAAACCCAAAATTGATTTGCTGAAAACCTGTGTTAATTGCATACCACGTCTCTTACCATACGAGATGTCACGAACGGAGTTGATTGAACTTCTCGCTCGAGTCTCTCTCAATGTAGACGAAGAAATTCGTATGATGGCACAGCAGACGATGGTCAATCTCATTATTGAATCACCCGCCTATCGACAACGTACTATTCAAGGTCGGTTTGTTTCGGAAATCGCAATACCGTTTGCCAGTTAGACTCCATCTCATTTCTCCTTTGTCTTCTAGCTTTCATTCAGTTTACGCAAAAGTATGTTCCAGACACTTTCCCATATCAGTTGGACAGTTGTCTGAAGACGCTACACACCCTCCTCGTTAATTGGAAAATCGCTCTACAACGGGTATGTCGACTAATAGTATTTCAGTAGTATGTAATTTTTAATAAAAATTGATATATTTTTTTGTGATTCAAGGACGCGGCTGTAACAACTAGTCTCTCGGAAAAGTCAGCCCTTGTAGAAGCGGAGGGGTTTGCGCTGGTAATGCTTTGTCAGTGTCGTCCACTCGCACGACGCCTAGCGGTCCATATTCTACGTGAATCAAGAGCGATCCTGCGTCTCATCGACCAAGCTGCGGCCCAACAGCAGCAAGGAGTTGGAACCGAAACAAGCCATGGCGAGTCACCTCAGAACATAGCTACTAGTATCTCTGCTGCAGCGTCTGCGTCAAATGTGGCCGTAATTGACATCCTTGATAATCTAGCTCCTGCAATTCTTGAAAGAGTCCTACCTATTTTACCACAGAATGAGAGAGTGAGTCAGCATGTAATTATATTGACAGTTTTCTCGGTGAACTTCCTCACCTCTTTAACCATTTTGGCCTTTATAGCATGAACTCTCTAGCCTTCAGACAGTGGATTTTAAATCACTCGCGGAGAGGTCTAATCCTGTTTGGTTGTGTGGAATAAGACAACCTTCTACGTGGAATCATAAACCTCTTTTGGGCTCAAACAATTTCAGTACACCGGTTGCTGTGACAACTGCTGGTATGTATTTCCAGTTAAGCAGGATTTATTTAGTTTAATAAATAAATTCATTCAGTCTCGGTTTTCACGATTAATGCAAACCTTAGGGTAATTAAAAGTTCAAAACTTAGCTATGCGTTCCTTGATGTTTTTTTTTCACTATTTTAGATCATTCTTCCTCTGGAAATAAGGTTGCGTCTTCAACCATGAAACACGGGGGTTTTGATGCAGCCTCTCCAAGTAGAACAACACGAAAATCTGCGCAACAGCTCTCTACCTTGCGTCCTTCAACATTCTCTCAATGTCTTCTCACTCCCTACCTCCTACAACCACAGCTTGAACGCACTCAGTTGACAGATGTCTGGGCTACTGCACTGTCAGTGGCACTTTCTACGTCTAGTGCTCTCTCCCAGCATCCAGCTCTTTTTTACGCTTGGAATACTGTTTTTCATAGGATGTCTCAAGTTTTCACACTCATTGATCCCAGGTAAGCATATTTGTATAAATGTCCAACTGGATGTTGTCCTAACTCGAAAAGGGTTCATTGTAATGTAGAGAAATCATGTAAATGCATATCTGTGGCATGTTGGGTGAGGTAAAGGGAGGGAGAGGGGTAAGCCATCGTAGACCGCTTGTAGACCTCGGGATGAGTCATATGCAGTGTCAAGTGAGAACAGCGGTAACTGGCAGAACTTGGAAAAAAAACGTATTTAGACCAATACTTATTAAGAGTAGGTTTCAAGTTTCTAAAAAAATTAGCCAATCTTACCCATGGGGAAACATCTAAACATGTAGGAATGAGATAGACCGTTCTAGTTTCATCTGTGCAGTAGATGTTAGAGTTAAATAATCATATGAGAAATGAACTTCTTGTCATATGTCTATCTTAGGAATAAAATCGTGATACCAGTAAACTTATCCTTTTTCTCCTTGCAGTGCTCAAGCAGCCGAAAATAGAGCTTCCTCACTTCTCCGTTCGACAAGCAAGAAGGCACCACCGACTGAACGTGATGTCCTCGTTCCATTGTGGCACAATTATGTGACACTGGCCTGTTGCATTGCGCCCTCTTCCACAGGAGTTTGTATTGTGGATCGAAAGCGACCCACATACGATACAGAGGGTGCTGCTTCAGCTATTCGACGACGAAATCTTCATCACATATCTAATCCATCCACTGGGTTAGTTGTTCATTTACTCATCTACTACTTTGTAATTAGACTCATAACGGTATTATGATAATCTACTAAGTGGTAAAATTTCCGGTAACGACTTAAATTACTAAATAGAGAAGGGTACTAGAAGCGTGAAATGCATGATTCCCGAAGGAATCATAGAGGTTATTGTCGACTAGAACAAATAGCCGTGTTTTGTGTAAATTTCACTTAACCGTTTGGTAAACTATCACATGTGACAAGAGAAGTCAACCCTACTCAGGTTGTCTTGTCTCAAAGGGAGTTAACATGTATATATATATATATATATATATTACAAAACATAGCACGGTGTCTCGCGCTTAACCATTGAGAAAATCATCATCTTAACATTACTGTAATGTGTGCGCTTGAGGTTAACCAGCCCATTTTCGTGCGACAGTTCGGCAGATATTGCTCTTCTTCCAAGCCATGAGAAGGCAGCAACGCAAAGTGACCCCAAAACCCCTGTCCAGGTTCAAAATCCTCGCCAGCATCAGCATCTAGTCAATAGTAAACTCTTCATTTCGGCCAAAGAGAAGGCTCGTGATCTAGTCAAGCTCATAATTCCCCTCCTACGATGCTGTGATCACCCAGAACTACGCGAATCCGTAATTTGTGGCCTGAGTCGTATTCAACCGGCAGCTTTTCGTGATGTCCTGGAGGACTTACATCCGATTTTACGCGAATCCATTGACCTGAAACAGAAGAATGTTCAAAGAAGACGCCGGAAAGACACCCTACGATCATCCCTCATCCGACTTCTTGCTCTCATGGCCCAGAATGCAGTATTTCAGCATGAGTAAGTTGAATTACTTAATGTTTGTATGTGGTTCTTTTAGACTGAGCTTACTATTCTCCTTGTCTTTGATTTCAGTGAAGCAGGAATTACCACAACCCAGGGTACTCTTCTCCCAACTCTAATAGAATTTATCGAAGGAACTCGAGTATACTTTGAGTCTCTGAACGAACCTTCTGCAATGGTAGTGACAATGTTTGGAAGTAGCGCAGGTGTAGGATCCATAACCACGGTTAATCACTCCTCATCGAATGCGAATGATATTCCCGGTGGATCCTCCATTAACCCACCTACCGTGGGTCAAAATATGAATTCCCCAACAGGACCGTCGCAATCTAATGTTGGAACAATGAACAGTGCCACTGTTAGTAGTGGAGCTAGTATGGCAGGAGTTTCTGGAAGTGGAGCTGTTAGCAGCACAAGTGGAGCACAGAATCCCACAGCTAATTCCGCTTCTGGACCAACGTCTGCAACTGCGGCGACATCTACTGCTCCAGCACATGCTCCTAGTGGTGTTGATCCAGTTCTACTCACTGAAATGCGACTCTACTTCTGTGTCTTTGTTCGGGACCTCATTCGCCACTTGCCGAAAGAAAGGCGACAGAAACTAATCCCACCTACCGTTCGTCGTAACCTCGTTCTGCTCATCTCACGGTGGAGTGGTTTCTATGAGCATATCTTCAATGCCAGGGATGTTAAGTGGGCTCAACCACCGTGGACTGATGATTCATCTAGTTCTCTCGCTCAAGATGCTAAGCAGTCGTCATCAATTCGCAGTGCTAGTGTTGGTGCTTCAGTCGGAAGTCTTCCTTCGCCTCCGGGAATGGATCAGGTCATTTCGGGTGATCTTGTCCTCTCAATTTCTGGAGTTCACTTAGAATCCACTCCCCAGGCTCCCTTTATCTCTGCTTCCTTCTTGGATGCTTCCATATGGTTGGAGTTACTTTGGTATGCTAATCAATCGATAGCTGCTCTGATCTGTTGCGGAAGTATCTACGAACACGTGGCCATCTTTTCTAATCCTCGAATAGTGGAAACAACGGAGGTAGCTTCCAATGCCACAGCCTCTTCTAGTCATCAATTAGCAGGAAGTAGTGCTAATCTCGGTGGAAATCAAATGCTCTCAAATCTTTCCGCGAATTTGCCTAACTCTGCTACTCAACCAAATAGTGTGCCTACTACTCTGCTTTCAAATGATGATGATGTAACAGCACCGACTACCCAGGTTGTGAGTACAGTCTCTATCGCGACGACAAATCCTTCAACCGTTAATGCCTCGAGGGGCCATCCCATACCGGGTTATATATTCCATTGGTTAAAGGGTCTCCTATTATGTCGAGATGCGAAACTCTCAATTTCTCCATGGTTGTGGGGTCTACCTGTAGTTAATTTTGGCATTTGTTCAACAGCACTTAAAGGACCTCATGGGAAAACTGGAGTGAGAAGTATCCGTCTTGAGGATAGTTTGAGATCCATAGTGATTGCAGCTGCAGCAGGACGACGATTGGACTCTGTTAGTTTTGATACTTTCCCCACAAATGGGCACCTTAGGCAACTTTTCAACTTCTTGTTGTTTTGTTCTTTCTAGCTTTTCCGTCAACTTGGAGAAGAAACCTTCTACATTCTTCTAGATATGAATCCTGATCTACCGGGTCTGTTGGAACTTCTTATTGATCAATGCTACAGTGGATCTTTAAATGTCATCCAAGCTTTCTTTGTTATTATTGCTCAACGATTTATCAAAAAGTATGATTGTTGATAATTCAAGCCTACTCATATGCAATTCAGTATCTGATGTTATGCTCATTATAGCCCTAGGATGAATTGTGACAGATTTACAATGTTAACTCTAGCAATGGTCTTTTGTGAACACCCTGTTCCCGTGATTAGGGAGCACGCCACTTTCCTATTGCAGACGCTCTACTATCGATTTTTCCTTCTGGTAAGTCCTATCACAATTCCACCCTCCAGTCCAAGTTTTTTTTGTTTCCTACGAGTAGTCAAAACATTCGCACCTGCAGGAAAAATCTGATTATGGAAAAGTAGTGGAGACCGAATGGTATGAGAGTTCGAATAGAAGTGTGCGATTAATTTATTTGGTTGTTTTCTTGTACACAATGTGCCCATGTTTTGTTGCTTCATTTGTGAAAGTGTTTGCCGCCTAAGTACACTCAGTGAGCTTGTGTTTGAGATATTTTGTGGGCTATTTTGTCTCTTGGTGTCTTCTCTCAATTTATTGTCTATTTCTATGTTTAAATCAGTCTTGAAAGTTTGAAATCTGCAATCGCATTTCCATTTTGGCTGTTTGTTTTTTTATGGATTTCGGTGTGCATCTAGTTGCTTTTACCCAAGTAATTTGTGGTGAAACTTTTCCGCATACGCAAATAACTACCAAGCCCTTACTGAAATTTCCGGATTATTGATCTGAAGATCTGGTTTCGTGAAAGCTTTTAATCCCTATCTATGCTTTCAGTTATTGCGATTGGATTGGTTTTCTTTGTTTACTTCATTGCTCTTTAAGCAGAATTACAACTATAACTAATATCATCTTTACGGTCTTCGATTTATTCCGTTATCCAAGACCCTTTCTATGCGTTTGACTTCATTAAATCACAATTGTAGCTCGCTTCTCACAGCCATTTTTTCTTTCTAATAAAATCATTAACCCATCGATTCTAGCCCATTCCTGCTTCACGGTAGTTGAGTTCATGCAGTTGAAAGAGGCATGACCTGCTCTTGATCTAAGACAGTCTCTTATACTTTATAGTCGCGTGTCAATTTTCCTATTTTCACTTGATTTATAGGTGTCTTTGTGGTTTTAACTCGTCAGAGTAGGTTCAATCTCAGTACGCTTTCTGTGGGTTTTAGACTCTGGTGCCCATCTTCTCTATTTCAATTTTGTTTAGAATTTCTTTTATTTTCGTAATTATCTTTCTTTCCTAGCCGAGTAGAGAATTGCACCAGCGTATGCATTCAGATTGTCAAAAGACAGTGGAGTCAGTAAATGAAGAATCCCGAGATTCCGGTGATCAGACTGAATTCTGTCTCTCAGCTCTCGCAGACGAGTTGCTATGGCGTGAAATCGGTCATTGGAAACCGTGCGATGTGCTGAGACAATTCTGCGCTCAGCATCCCACCTGCACCCTTCCGATGATTTCTGGTATACATCAATTATTGGGATTTAAATTCACATTGTTATTCACGTCATCTTGATTTTGAGTTTCCCTTTCAACAGAAATATGTCGTCGCTTAGCGACTGCGTCCAAGGAGGTACGATGCCGATTGATCTCATTGCTGCACTACTGGGCAATCAATATTGAACTAGTCGATCTTTTCTCACGGAATTACAAAAGTGATGGATTTATGGACTTCTTCCATCAACACCGTAACAACCCCCAGCTAGCGAGCGCGTCTCTCCTTGAGAAAGTGGAGTTGAGTAATCCAGTTTCAGCAATTAATGCTGAATCTGAATCAGAGCTTGAAATTGACGATAGGATGGAGAAAACACAAAATGGAGTAGGTGGTGACGAGGAGGAAATTATCAAATGTCCTTCTGGACCTTCAGGATCTGAATCGTCATCCTCTTCAACATCATTATCGTCTTCCTCAGAGTCTTCTCACAACTCATCGATTTCTTCAGATATTGATTCAAGTGACTGTGATGGACCAGTATTAATCAATAATATGGCTAGTTCAGCTTCTGCTTCAAGGAAACCACGTGCAGGTCGACGTCAACATCAGGATAATCGTCGTAGACGTCTCCAACAAGGACGTACATCAGATCAGTTCCTTAAACCCGACCAAGATGGAGAAAAGCAGAAGGAAGCGGCCAACGAACTCTGGGCTAGTGTACCGCTTACACTACGACGTTCTGGTTGGGGTTGTCTGGAAGCCACAGAGATGGTACTAAACAACTTTTTCTACTTAACTATTCGATTTGCTAATGAACCTAATGAGTCCGTGGTGTTGGGAGATTTGTGGGTCCTAATGATCAGATATAGACCGTCAAATTTGAGGTATATTCTTCGATACCTCATTGTTGCCGCTTCTCTTGCTCCGGCTACACTCTGTTCTCATGTAAGCCCTTTCCTTAGAATCTTGGTACACATTTCTCAAGTATTCGCACTTGTTATCGAATTTCTTAGGTGAATCGTGTTGTGTCATTCCTATCAAACGAGGATCCGTCGGAAGTTGTGGAGATTTTGATGACTGAGTTGCAAACAATTGATGGAGCTGGCCTGGTTATTGAGCCATCACCTCTGCCACCTTTCTTTCACATTTCTCTCATCTCGCAGACAAACTTGACCGAACCGAGCAGTGATCAAATCGGTGATCCTGATGAAAATGCTTCCAGAAGGATTCTAGAAAATGAAAGTTGTTTGGGGTAAGTTCTTTCGTTGTATCTTGTGAAAGTCGATGCTTTTAGTAGTGACTTGCAGGTGCGTATTTGACTTCAGCCTCTGCCTAACTTACAAACTATTTAATTCCAGAATCAAGGACAGTGGAAGTAGAAGAAAGTTTATTGTCAATAGTCTTTGAGTATTGTGAAAAAAACCTAATTAGTATGTGGAGTTCTTGAGATGCTTGAAGTAATGGCAACACGACGGAGTCAGCGAAGCTCGTACACCAGTATTGCTGTCTCTCCGTCAATCCTTGTAGTCATTGTTATATGAATAGTTGTAAAGATTTCTGTGTATCGTGGGTCAAGTAGGAGGCTGAGGCCAAGTCACAATCACTTCTAAGTAGCATCTCTTATATAAATTATCCTCTTATTCGTACCGACGTTCCAGTTTTACATTTTTTGCATTAAATGGAAGTGTAAAAGTTTATTTACTTTGGTAAGCCTTCAAAAGTACGGGAATTCTTTTTTTTCTTTTGAAATCGCACTTGATGTCGGCTTTCTCAAACTATGGTTGATATTCTTTCGAATTCTCCTAATCGCGAATTTCATGATCCATTTTTAGTTTGTTTGAGGCAGAAGGTAGTTTGTTTCCGAAATTTTTGAAGTTTAATTTAAGTGTGCTGACGCAATTCTTTTTTTAATGCTCAAATTACGGTCAATTTGTACGGGCATAGGTTTACAGTTAAGGAACTTCCTATCTAATAGAGATTCACTCTCTAACTATCCGCTTTATGAAGGATGAGGCTTGATAGAAATGAGATGAACCAATGACTTCTAGGTAAAATAGAAACAAGGAACTTTGATTTTGCGTAATTAGCCTTATTTTCGCCATAAATTTTTTTGCAGTCAACAGACTGGAAGTTCCATCAGACCCTTATCAACAATTAGTGCAACTGGCGGTGATCTCCAGGTCATACCCATCAAACCAGGTGTTGATTCATCTCCTGCTCAACCGATTTCCACTAGTGCTAATACTTCAGCGATCTCTCGTTTGACTAATCGATTTGCGAGCAGTGCTTCTGCAATGGGTCGTCGTGCATTGAGGACGGCGTTACATCCTGGAAGTGGTGGTGGAAGACAGTCGAAGAACTCGATGAACCTTGACCAGGTTTGTTATTCAATATGGCTTTGTTGGTTTTTAATTTGCTTCTCATTCCTCTAGTACAAAAAATAAGTTCATTCGGTTCAGAATATTAAGGAGAGTCCTAAATAAAATACCTTTATCTCAAAGTACTAGAGCATAGGTTTCATGGGTGACAAGAGTAGGAAAGATTAAGCAAATAATTTTAGTAAATTTTTCAGCAAGTTGCTTAAACATCATCTTAACTGGTAATGCTTTATTTACTCCGTTGTGTCAGCTACGGAATCGAACTGCTTACCTAAAGGCTAACTAGACTGTGTATAGGAAATGCACTTAGGTTACTTCTCATAGCTGGTCATCACCGTAGAAGGCGTGATTTGAACGCTTTTGTTTGCACAAGGCTTACAAGAGCAGTGAGTCTATAAGAAGTACGAAAAATGGAAATAAGAAATGTAAAGTGAATGAAACGTGAGAGGAGGTGGGTGTAATGTCAGCTTGACCACAATATTCCACCCTTAGTTAGAGCTAATGACCTCCCGGACTCGGCTTTTCAATAGGTTCATACTTTGGGTCCATATTCGACGATGTGCGCGGACAAGTGCGCATGTGCAAATTATCTTGGTCACACTCTATTTCAGTATTCTCTTTTGAATCGTAGTACTCATATAATGTGAAACACTGATTCCTAACTGATATAAAGATGGTGTTGACATGACGTGGAGCAATGTAACCGAGATTCAATTATGCATGTAATTGCTAGGTCACAATAAAATATATGTTTTCTATGATTTTGTGAATTTTTGTAAATTTTCTATCAATTCTTTTTAACCAGGAACAACCTCCGGAATTGGACATTGATTCCCTGGATGGTGAAGGGGAGGAAGAAAGTGGAAATCTTAGACAAGCAGCTGATACCATGCCGACACCACAAAGTCACAGCACCCCTTCAGCAGACGCTTTGGTTACAGCTCGCAGTCAAACCCTTCCCTACACAGCCGCATCCCGCGAGCGCTATAGCAAGCAAACTATCGTGGGTCTAGATAACCAAGTTGTCCTCTCCAACCGTCCAAGCCGATTTCGAAAAATTCTTTCCCGCCGTAGAACAGGTGGTGGTGGACGTCGAAACCCCTTTAGATCAATTTTCGGTGGTGGAGGAGGTGGTGGTGGCAGTGGTAGCATTGTGGGAGGGGCATTGAATGGAAGTATCAAAACATCCTCAGAACTTGTGCAGAATATATCTGAGGAGACTAAGCTCTACACCACTTCCTTGCCCCCTAATCTCGCTTCTCTACAGCCCCTACCTCTTCCACTACATTCACATTCCATCTCACATCTTAATGATTTTCGGAAGAAGCGCGGTGGACGAAGGAGACGGTCATCTTCAGCATCTGGTCGAAATCATCAACATGAAAGTCGGAGACATCGTCGAAGACGCCGGCGAAGAAATAATACTAACGAGGGTGGTGTTATGGAAGATGTGGCGGATCAACACGTAAAAGTAGCCTTCTATGAGACTAGTCTCATGCTTCAACAACCCCTACCAATGCCGAAAGATGGAAGTGTCTACTACGCACCAATGAGGAATTGGCTAACGGAGCCATTTGTGTCCAATGGATCTCTGGTTTACAGTGGAATGTGGTCACCTACAGGCGCTAGATCACCGCTTGTTTTACTCCTGGTTGGAGAAATTCTCAAGTCGCATAATAAAAATCGAGTGACGTGGCGGAAACATATGCCACTTCTCTTACTCTGTCTATTTCTAGGTGAGTTCATTCAATCTTTGTTGTTTTTACTTTTGCCAGACAATATGTCCTTTCTTTTAGCATACGGTATTTGTGCTAGACATTTTCAATCAGTTTGAATTGCCGTTATTGGCTGTCTATTGTATCTGTTAGTTTATAGATTACTTTTGTTGCCTTTCTGACAGCTTAATTCCACTGTTTAATTTGAGTTAACAAGTGACCTGTCATTAGAAAGCCTTCATTGTTCTGCTTATCTCCTGCCAAGCTGACTTTCGGGTCGGAAGTTATTTCTCAGTTATTGATGTTTGGGTATGGAAAGCATCTGTACATAAAGTGCGACCGATTGATCTAAACAAGGTATGCTTTGATGGAGGAGAGAGTTGGTTAGTAGTCAACGCATCAAATAGGCCTCAATTAAAATGGAATTCTCTAACTTTCAAGGTCATACTTTTGGGGACTTAGAAATAGCTCATAATTTCTATTTTTAAAATTAAATGACTACAAGATCGACCTTGTGTATAAGTCATGCTAGCCTAAAGGTGTCTAGATGTAACAATAACATTGAATTTATATAAGAATGTGTAATAGTACTTGAACTGGGCAGAATCTATCTTATTGAGAAACTTCAATTCTGACACCGCGTTGTTAAAAATTGTGATTGACTAATTAAATCGCCTGCTATGCACCGATGAGTACCATTTGTAACGCGCTCAACTCAAGTAAGATGCCAGCTGACCAATGTGCCAATTTTTATCAAATTTGTTTGACATGTCTTCTCAAAATTCTATGCTGATATTTGCTTATTCATTAGGATTGGATCATTGTCGTCCATTGGTACAAGAGGAGAGTAAGCAGCTTTTGGTGAATATGCTTCGTGTAATTTGTCCGCGGATTGATCTCCTGCAGATACTCTCTCTTCAATTGGAGATTGATTCCCAATGGATTGCCCGAGCTGTTGCCGGATTTTCTACTCACGTTCCTCAACTGTTTCTCATATTGGATGATGGACCTTCTGTGGTAAGAAATCGACGTGATTTTTAAGAATGTCTCCTGTGCACGACTTAACTTTTCTTTTCTGGGTTTGGTATTAAAAACGTGCAGAATATGACCTATTACTCTTAACTTTCGTGAAGATTGATTTTCGTTGTGTTGCTAACTCTACGTCGGTTAGATGACAGTATTGTAACGCATCGCAAATGGCACATAATCTCAGGAAGCCCCAGAAAGAGCAGGTCTCTATTAAATCATTTTGCTACCTTACTTCAATTGTGATAGTTTAAATAAACTCAGAAGACATGCTTGAAGGAGGGAGGAAGTTAATTTTGCCCACGTGTCTCGTAAGCTATGACCCATCCCTAAAAATCTATCCACTTTAAATGAGGCTTAATGGATCTAGAAATTGAAATCCTTAAATTATTTAGGTGCATAGTGCTTGTGGAACACTCATTTGGCAGGCATTTTAATAGTTTCATTAGCCCTTTAGGTGACTTCAGGCCTCACAGAGGAGAAGAAATATCAAAGTGAGAAAAATTCGAGAGGGGTAGCAGAAGAGAGATTCAAAGATGTAAAAGAGACAGACACAAAGGTAGAAAAAAGGTGTGGTGAGTACTGTGGAAGTAGTCGAATATGACATACAGTGGGGTGATGGTAGTTAGAAGTCAGAAGTCAACTGCCGGTTAATATACGTTGCCCAGGATGCACCATGTGGAGGTAAGTCTATCGCACACCCCACATTCATATATCATCATTGCTTTTCTGTCAATGACTATTCCCAATCAATCAATAGTAATCAGTTTCATAGTCATTCTTTGTCGGAA